CAATTCCGTATCAGATGGAATAATTTACCATGATTACCAAAAGTAGCGGCTGTTTCCATCTCCAAGGCACGATGATACCACTAGGATTCGCGGCCTTCCTTCAGGCTAGCATGCAGTATTTCCCTGAGATTTTTGCGAGTCTCATTGTATTCGCTTCCAGCTGGAATCCGTCGGCGGGCATCCATAAGTTCCAGAGACTGTGCAGAGACCCAATGTACAGTTTGGCAATTTAATTTACCACACGAAGACATGCCTGCTGATAGTAACTTATGATGAATATGCGACCAGTGATCTTCGATGGTGTTTAGTGGGCGCTTCCTTAGCCCAGATGTCAGCGCACTTTGGTACACATTCAGAACCTCTGGCTTCACCATCTGGCTGGTGTCAATCCGTTACTCTCGACGTTGCGGACGTCCACCGAAACGCACCAGACAAGTGCGTGGTCAGAGTCCACGCTCGTGCTCCAAATCAAGCGACAGTTTTGGACACAGCCACTCCAGCGGTAACTGATCGCGATCGATTTGTGTCCATGGCTGGCCTGAGGCTGGTAGGCGCCAAGTCACGCTGCTGCGGGTGTTGTGTCGAAAGTTTGTGCTCGCGAGAAAGAGGGGAGCATCTTCACACAGCTGTAGCAATCGTTCACCGTCATCATTACGGGAGCCTACACCATGTTGGCCGCCCAGATGAAGCCCATCAGAGGACAACATTCCGATTAGCGCGTTTAGATCGCCAACGAACAACACAGTATCCGTGCTTCTTTTGTAACGAAGGAGCTCGTGAAGTTGCTGATAGAAATCATCTTTTACCGAATCAGTGCTACAGTTTGTAGGGGCGTAAGCCGCAATGACAAACAGGCACCGTTTGTCCCCGCGCGACTTCGTAGCACGGAACGAACCAGCTAATCTAACGGTGCACATCCTACTGTTTACTGGGATCCAGTCAATCAGGGCAGCTTCAGCCCGGGGACTCAAAAGAATGCCGACGCCAGCTTGACCGGCATTTGAAGCTGCATCATCGCCAGACAGGCGCAACGAGAATGTGTCGCCAGTGTCGCATGTGGGGGATCTCCGGGTATGCACGGAGCTCGAACCTTGCAGGCGGGTTTCTGATAAACAGCAAATATCGATCGATAGGGTCTCTAGTGTGCGGGCAAGTGCTGCCTGTTGGCCAATCTGGAGCAAGGTGCGCACGTTGAGGCATGCCAGTCTTAGCGAGACGCGAGGATTCCAAAGGGAAACGAATGAACTGACGTTGTCCGCTTGGTTGAATATGGACTTGTCGGCTGGATTGGAGCGAGGCCCTGCGATTGTGTGTGATTTGAAATTAGAAGACAAGCGACTATTGAAGTGAGCTGCGGGAGGGCCAAGAATTGGGGGATTGAAAATGGGGGGATAAAAGTAAAGTTGGAGCGGGACTATAAGGATGAAAAAGTGCAAGGGGGATAAAAAGACGGGAAGGCCTGAGTAGTAGCATCCGAAGCCCTATCCACTCTGCTCGATGTAGAAGGTAGGGCGGCGTTGCTTATCCTCTGCGACGGCCAGAGCATCAAGAAATTGTTAGCCTAAAGGTTCAGTGTATAGTTCCAGTGGGACAAGAGGTAATTCGAGTGGTACAGTGAGTATGGTAAGTTTCCATTTGTTCCGTGTTACAGGCACTACTGTTCAAAGCCCGAGTTGACCGTGAACTTATTTGGCTGCATCATTTTGCATGACCCATTACCCATGGATAAACACAAGTGTCTGTAAGCGATTTCACAGATTTCGTTCTAGGTTTTTCACCTCCTCTATGTGTATGCCAGAAGGAGACACCATTTTTAACAACATCCCATTTGCCATCATTTCTTATGGATTTACCTTGGATTTATAATTTATACTACGTATACTCCAGTGAGTTCACTGGTGTAAACCCAATTTTGCTAACAATTTTGCTTAGATTTTGAAGTGTCACCAAAACTATCCTACGGACGTGTTATGCATTAGCTTTTTTACACGTATAATACTATTGTTCCATTGTTCACTGTCAGGCCAAGTGACTTGGCACATGTTTACTGGGGGATATTTTTGTCGACAGACATGAGTCCAAGGACTCAGAAATAAGCACTCAGAAAAGGTACTGGCAAGATGATCTAGATGAATGTTGGATGTTGCTCGTCAACAAACCGTCCACTTCACGAACGATTTCGATCTTATTTGGTCTCATCAGGTAGAGATAGCAAACGTCGAACCCAGGACCATTAGGATGTCAGCGGAAACCTCTTCTACTAAGCCACCGAGTCACTACGGGTAAGGTTTGTCACAACGGTTGATGACGGGTCGGTTGGTCACTGCTACACACTCACACAGATAGCGCTGCTGAACAGATTTATTTTCGTACTTATGACTGCTTGGTGTGCTACGTAAGGTTTCTGAGAGACCAGAGGTTGGGAGCCGAAAAGACGGTTGGTGGATTAGCGGTTATTTAGTTTCTGAGGCCCATACAAACGAGTAAATGCATGCCGAAAGAAACTGAAAAGGGATAAAAGTTTTCATCATTCACACCTCTTGCATTTCATTGCTTAGTCTTTGATACTCAAAAGATGCACGACCTTGGAGTTCAAGGGTTACCAGGTGTGCATTGTATATAATCAGAGAACAACTAAACGAGTGACACGTGGTTTGGCGAATAAACTATGCTTAGCTGGCAACCTATGATAAGCATCATGGGAAAGTTGCATCAAACAGTTAAGTAGCGGTCAATTTAAATAAAATAACCCGAAAATGTACTAAACCGTTGTGTTTAAATAAACATACTGGAACGATAAATGCCTGCGTTTCCTTTTCCGATTATCCGGTGCGGACACAGCTGGAGAGCACAATGAGTGCCCAGCATAAAATTAATCCGTTTGAAATTGTTGCTTCAACGCTTGGCTTTTCCACTTATTTGCACGATATATTTATGAATTGCCTCATCAAAGTCCCATTTCGCTGTTATATTCCACTCTTATGATTTCAGGCGTAACTCTGAGATATATCTGATAATCAAATCCTTTCCATCATCGAAAAACATGAACATGGAATTTTTCCAACAAAGCACTCGTCCTATTTGCAGCAGTATACCACACACAAGACAGGATATGATTTTGTGCGTTCCTTAGGGCGGGCGCTGATTAGTGCGCAGCTGCAAATATCGTTGAGTTTCGATTGAGAACTAACTGAAACTGTGAGACAGTTCAATGGGTAGCTAAAATTCTTTTTGGCCCATATCTCTGTCTTGTGTTTCTTTCCAACCCGATTACCATGTGGATGTTGATTCAAATAATCGTCAACCAGTCATTAGTACCGTTGCTCAATTTGGAAGAGGCAGGGGAAAAATAAAATAAATGTATGAGGTTAATAAATCAGCTCTTCAGTAGTTTAATCTACAACTACCGGCACGTGGCCTAAAGGATCGCAAGCCTGCCTTGCAATCAGATGACGTGAGTTCGAGCCAGCCTATTGGATCGGGCGATCTACACAGTATCCTTAATTCACGCGCGTGTTAGTTGCGCGGCAGCAAAAGGTAGCTACTGTGTACCGGGCTACTGCTGATACCCTTCTACCGGTTACGCATACGAACCAGAATGAATGTGCCGTATTCCCTTAAATTCAAATACTATTATTTGGAAGAAGAATGCATATGCATAGATAAGAAATGTGCGGGGTTCTATGTTATGGAGAGAGTTCTTCGCCACGAGGCTGAATGACGCAGAAATTTGGAAGCCCATAAGATATTTTAAAGCGGTTAGTTGATTACAATAATTTAAAAAGCATGGAAAGGAGACGAAAGCTGGCAGATGCATGCATTTCGTATTATCTCTTCAGCGCCATTAATAATAACCCATATGCATGGGTATGGCTAACAATGGGTGCGACCAGACAATATTGAGGTGCAGAATGAATGACGGAAGTTCCTACTACCGTCCAGGGCAGTTTTAGGTAGACAAATAATTGCTTCTGAATGCACAGGACTGGCTTCGTCCTGCTTATGGCGACAGTCTCAGTAAAATGAAGATAGTGCGGATTAGCGTGACGTAACACCACTTGAGGCGCTGAGCCTAGCTTTATCTAGTGAATAGCGACCAATAGGTGTTTGCTTGTCGAGGAAGGCAGCGACCTACGCCAGCACGGTTCTTCCGTTCGTGACCAATCAACATTGAGCATGGCATCTGCTCCATGGGCGAGTTGAACTTAATCTTACGATCCAGCACCTGGCACGAGCATGAATAAGTGGCAGCTTGTCATGTGGCGCTGGTTTACATTCCAAGCCAAGGTAAACCAAAACGAACTCCACTGCGAATGAAGTTCATATTTTAGCTTCCTAGCAGTGAGTGATCGTTTCTACTTAGCTCTTGTGTAAGCTATGGGGTTATCAAAAGTGACTAACTGATGTTATCAGCTGTATTCGTGCTATTTTTCTGGAAAAACTAAGTCAACCCGTCATTTTGCAGCTTCAAAGATTGTGTTTAAAACTGAGTCGCACAACTAAGTAACCCATCATAGACCCAGGAGACAGATAACCTGAAAACAGGCTTTGAAACGTAGTCCGGAATCGACGCACTGGTAAAACTAGGACATCTGCAGTAGAATGCTACTTAATATAAAAAATGCGAAATAAATATATACCAACCTTTCATTCGGAGTAACTAAAATATGGTAATTTAAACTTGTTGCAGGAAATGTAACTGACATCTGACACTTGTGAAACACGAAGCCAACCTACGTATCTACTCACTAACTGGAATCTACTTAGATTTGGAAACGGAAAACACATGCCAAATGCTTACTCTGAGAGAAATTTGTCGGTTTTGCACTCTTCTGGAATGTAGTGATCAACCACCAATACGCAGTAATCGTGACAACGGATGCACACAGCCCCATCCGATCGTATCCCTTGTTGATTCATATCTCAGGTTGTTGAGCAGTGACCTTGTGCGAAGCAAAATCCAATTTGCTCTAAAAATCGGTTCGGTACGCCATCGCGCCTGCCTGCATGAAGCCGCCATTGGGACTGACTGCAGTAATAGGCAGACACCGCCATTCTCTGTTTGATTGGCTGGTGCTGTATGTCTGTTGACCTTGAAAGTTTGATTGGTTCGGCATCGGTGACGCTGATGATACCCACCGACCGCAACCACGGACTGGGATTTATTAAGTATTGACATTGTGTGCTTATAGAGGTGCTCTGCGGATTCTCCTACTTGAAAGCAACATAAAGATGTAAACTTCTTCATAGTTATGGCTTTGTTTTGAACCACCAGACAAGGTGATTTCCTGGCTAAAAGTTAACCAAATAGGAAGCGCCAATTTCCGACTAATGTAAAGTGTTAGAAGGGTGGACCCAACATATATTTCACAGAGAACAGACGAATGGCAGCCAGGTGCTGCGTACCGCGCAGTTCACTAGGAGGAAGCTAGTGATGGGAAAGCGTTCAATAAAACACCTGGATGATTGCATGGTTGCACTTCAAATAAACCCCATTGTTACAACATAGTGAACGAGTTATTGCTCCGTGCTTCACTACAATGGCCTCTTAAAAAGTTGGTTAAGGGACTTCTTCGGTGCACTTGTCTGGAACGGCGATTAGGAGCGACGGATTTGGGTAAAACACTGGTTATAAAACGGGTGCTTGCGGAATTCACCGGTTGCATCTGTTTCGAGTCGGATGAATCCGCTTACTTCGATCCTTGACTGGATTTATTCGAAGACCCGTTTGAGCAGCTGCTCAGCCTGCCTGTTGGGGCGTTTAAAACTAACAGAACGGATGCGCGTACTCCGATAGGCGTGTTATTTGTCTTTCGTAGGGAATCAAAACGTTCATGCTAGAAGTGTCGAGTCGCTGCTGCATTTCCTGTACACGAGTGGAGGACAACTGATCTCCAAACAACAGGTCTCTAAGTAATTGTTGCCAACGCATATTGTCTGAAAGTATACTGGACTTGTTGTCAGCCTCATTGGCGGTCTCGTATTTCTTCCCCATCCGAAGGCAATATCGTCAATGGTTAGTGTTATGTTGCGGAACAACGCCGAAGCCTAACATGTCCCACAGAAACGTTAGTCAGAGCGTTCAGAAGAAAAGGAATAACAAATATAAATGGCTAAACCGAAAACAGTGGACTTATTGGACATATATTTGTCCGTCTGAATCGTTTTATGCAACTCAAAATGCTGCCACCTTGGGCATTTCCAATAAGACGGATGTGAGTTGATGCGGTTTGGTTTCCCGAATGTGCATATAGTTCATGTGTGCTTTATGATGTACTGTAACGCGACAATCGTATTGTCGACTCGAACTTTGAACACAGCTAAGGCAAGGGCCGAAATAATAGGTTCTGCGAGTGGATTTCATACGCGACAAACGCGTAGCGTGAAGAAATTCCGTCTACAGCTAGCTGTATTGTTCTGCCAGTTTGAGGCAGTGATCTCAGCCAGTTGTTATGGCTGTTTTAGCCGCTGGTAGCACGAGTGATTAGGGTTGATTAAAATCGGAAAAACCACGATATGGTCACCGCACAAACGCCGATAGCGTCCACTGAAAGCCCAAAATACTCAGACTCTTCGTAGGGTAAGTAGTATACTCCTTTGAGGTTTTGGCTGCCCGATGTCGTGGAATTTCTAACGCAGTGGTATTCCGCTTTAGCCATGGCCGCCGTGATTGAATCGCATATTTCACGTGCAGGCGTATGTATACAAAAAGCAGCTGGGAAAATAACAAATGAGTCGAAGTGACCAAAAGCTCTTTAAGAGTTCCTATTTTAGTTATATTTTAATGCTAGTACATACTGTTCCAGGCAACCAAGGTCTTCCTGGATCATTTTTACAAGTACAGTGCTGGAGATCCAGGTCACCGGGCTTGTAGGTGTGAAACAATTGGTATCCTAAATTGAATACTCGACCTTTAGTAACGCTGAAGTGAAAGCGATTGTCCACTGGCTATGGCTTGTCTCAAAACATATCGGTTATATAGGGTGAAGTGGTTAGGCTCAACTTCTCAATTTGTTGCATCGTTCCTCCAAATGTTTGCATTGGTCACGCTTGAAGCTGCAGCTCGTGCATCATGTGACACGTTGCACTTGTGCACTCATATGAGGCATACTCATGGACTGTTCGCGACGTGAAATCGTGCTCGCCTTGTCGCCGACTGCACTGGTATGGTCTATGAATGTGGCTTATACGAGTGCACACGTGCAACGTCACATAATGCACGCGATGCAGCTTCAAGTGTGACAGATGCAATCATTTGGGGGAGCAATGTGATGGATTGAGAACAGGTGTAAATCTTTAATAATCAAAACGGACTGGACCCCAATACCGAACCTTGTGGCACACTTGTATGGGTTTGACACGTATTCGCGAAACTTTACTTCCAAACACCTGTGAGAGATTGTTGCTAATCAACCCTAGGAGGGGATCACCAGTGCTGTATTCCTGAGGCTCGGCTAGGATGATGCAGTGGTTCCACCGGTCGAATGCCATAGAGGAGTCGAGGGGGACAACAGCGACTCCTACACCAACATCCACTGTTTGTCCAAATGTTCCGTGCTAACAGTAGATTGGTAGAGCACCATCGATTCTGGTGGAAGCCAAGGAGATGTTTCTCGCTTGGTAGAGTTTACCCCGAAACACAAAACGATTACGCAGTCAGAAGCAATTCAATAGTTCAATAGTGTACGATGGTACAGCTTTACCTCAAGGTGTGCAGTGACAAGAGAGCCATCTATCAACAAGTTTATGCTGCGAGATACGATATCAAAAATGGGGGTATGTTCCCTCGAAATGCTTCGTCGCAAAAGTAAGTAAAATTATTTGGTTGGTGGAAACCATGAAGATAACTGGTGATCCAAAGAGGCGGTAGGGCACTATTCCCAGGATTCGAATTCAACCTGGATGTGAAGAGTTCGGGGCCGAGGCAACCATTTCTACAGTATTGGTCGAATATAGTACTCGTCAACAAGGGCATGTAAGGCTTACCAGATACGATATGGTGGACAGTTAAAGCGAATGGATCTGACCTATTTCGTACAGAGAGCTACGAAGGGTCGGCGGCAGATGAACGGGAGCCTAAAGAAACTTAGTGCAAAGCTAAGCAGAGAGACAGAGAAGATGGGGAATATCGGTCGGTAAAAAGAAAATAGGGTTGTAGATTGAGAAGTTGAACAATTTCACTGTTATAAAAAGCTAGGTGAGCAATTACTATATGATTCACTTCATCCAACCATTTACTTTGGCACGAGGAAGCCTGTGGTTCTCCATAGAGGAATCCTGGTCCATGGGAATCCAACCATATAAGACTATCCGAATGTTAAAATAAACGACAATAGCATTCCAAAGTTGCTGTCATCGCTACTACTTCCCTTGACTGTATAATCCTTAATTACGTATACAGCTCAAATAGGTCGTTTAGTGACATCTGCACCGCGCTATTTGATTGACGCCTGATAATACATTAGTTGCCGTTGACCACTTGAAACTGGGTCGCCTCTTCTTCTGGGAACCAAGTAGATTGTGGTTGATAATCGAAATTCTGAACCCATTCTTTGAGTACGTAGCAATCTAGATACTGTGGTCTAGTCCAGATGATATGATCCTCGTAACATCAGATGCTCACCATTCGGTAACTACGGGGGATCGCTCATACGCTGACTAAATTTCACATTGGTTTATTTCATTCAGGAGCCCAAATGTTACGGGGTCTACAGCCTGACCTAAATTTCCGGTAAGTGTGACTTTCTCCATGTTTGACTGTTCAAAACGTTTCGAATTCCTGTAGTATTAACAGGGGCCCAGTCACATGGATTCATAGGCAGCATTCAATGCACTACTGCAAGGCGAATGTAAAATATGGAGGAAAAATCCGTTAGAAGGTCCCCTTTGATATGCATAAATAGGTTGTTGGCCTTAGCACAGGCTTATTGCACGAACATATACAACAATGTTTTGGGGGGGATGGTGGTTGAATTGTATTCGACGAGTTCACATGTATATTTTCTATTGGTGGTTAGACGTGCTTACTAAGTGCCGTCTGGTTGTTACGGACTATGCATGGCCTTCGTATTATCGGAATCCGCTAACATCAAAGGCATCCATGGAAGGGATGGGGAATAAAGGAAGAGCAGCAGCAGCACTGGTAAGCAACAAAAAATATTACTGCACATAGAATTGGATTACAAAAGCTAACAACCAAATAAACAACAATGACAATGCAACTTAAAAAGGTAGCCAAAATAGTAACTCATGACTGTAGTTACAAATAGTGTCCTGTAGGATCAGTGACGCATTACTCAGCGTATTCCAAGGTAATGGCGAGTTACTGGTTAGATCCTTAGCCAGATCTGATTCTACTCTAAGAATCCAGCAACGACCAACCAGATCTCACTGTGCGGTTTTCACTCTATAAAGCAACAGAGTCTTGCATAATTCTCAGCTAAACCCAGGGAGCTAGGAAACGTGGATCACTTAAATGTAGTCATTTCGCCTGGAAGCGCACACTAGCACTAATCCCTTTAAAAGTGATGTTTTCAAATCAGGACTTAAAAGAAATCAACTGCTCACTATCTTAGTGAAAGTTAGCAGTCTATACAATTTTACAGGCAACTTCATGCAGTGCTAATAAGTTAGCGTGTTACAAAAATCAACATAACGTGTTGTGAACTCAAGTTCACGCTGGCATCAATTCATTCTCTCTCTGAGAGGTTACAAGCACGCACTATCAGTGATACTCAATGGTCTTGGGACATTAAGCAATGTGACTCTCCTGATGTATGCACAGGGCTAGATGTATGCGTCAATGGGGGACAGGTATGCTCCCGAGTAGGTTGTGACATTGCTGTTAACGGAAGGCAGACAGAGATGAGATTGTCAGTGCTAGGGGTCACCAACAATACTCCTGACTGTCGCTGGTCAACCGAGGATGAGGTGTTTGCACGTGCTTTGTCAGCACCACTTTAACAGATCTTTTGTCAGAAAGAGTTACCGTTGGTTCGAATTCTGACCAGGTCGGTAGCCGGTGTCCCAGTGCCATATTTCCAACGCTCTCCTAGCAGCCGAAATGTATGGAGCGCACAA